GGCTATTGTGGACATTGCTGCTATGAACATTGGGGTGCATATGGCCCTTCTTTTCACTACATCTGTGTCTTTGGGGTAAATACCCAGGAGTGCAATTGCTGGGTCATAGGGTAGAGAAAAAGACTGAACCAATAGAAATAAGGTGGTTCAGTCTTTTTCTGTCCAAGATGAATGTTTCTGCCCATGCTCTGGGTTTTATTCTTTCTTATCTCCTCTGAAATCTTTCTTTAACTACTTTTATTCATTGACTGTATTTTCAATCTATCCTCTATTTTCTGGCTGGTTAACTTTGACCTATAAATACTTTAAAGTCTCTGCACACCAAAAATACTAAGCCCTTGACCCTTCTATGCCCGCTTCTAGTTACTAGTCCATCTCCACTTTCCTTAACTATTAACTTTAAAAGGGCTTTTTTTAATACTGACTATTTACATTCCCTCACCTTTCATTTGGTTTACATTTCCATCTAGTCTATCTTTGTACCCACTACTACATCAAACCTGCACCATCCATTTCCAATGAATCAGTCAGGGCCCCGGCAGGAAAGAGATGGCATCCTAAAATTTCATAATTTAATGATAATGCAATAAAGGGATTATTTATAAAGATGTGGGCTGGGTGTAAGGAAACAACTGTAGAATCCTAGGGCTAGAAACAGTGGGATCATTTTACCGCCCTCCAGCCTAAAGGAGCAAGAGAAGGAAGCAGCTCTTAAAACCTGGAAATGGAGAAAACTGTCTAGAGGTAGACACTGGGCAGAAGCTGTGACTTTCCATCATTTTTCTGTCATGGAAAAATCTGGTATATGCTGACCACAGGGAGGAAGTAAGGTGAATAAATATCCAAACCTCACTCTCCTCCTTCCTTCAGATCTTCTGCAAGGGCTACCCAACATTTGAACCTAAATCAAAGTCCATTAATGAGGTTCATACACATCAGTTTCCCAGGCACAGATTAGAGTGCAGTGGAGAAGGGTGAAGGTGGCTCTGGAGAGGTCTACAGAAGATAGCACATCCATGTTTCCAGATCCAATGACCACCTTGTAATTCTTAACTTATTTTAAAACTGCAACATTTGACACTGTGGTTTTCTCTGATCATTTTAAAATTCTCCCTTCCAATGATTTATGCATTTTTGTCCTTTAATATCTCTGACCTCCCTGATTATTCTTTGATTTTTTTGTCCACTTCTCTTCCTTTCCCTTCCTACCTCTTACCTATGGGTGTATTCCAGGATTTTGCCCTCAGCCTACTTGTCTAAAAATGTGGTCCTTAGTCTGATCCCAGTCACATCTAATATTTCAACCTATGTGCTGACAAATCCCAAATCTATTTCTCTAGGCCATATTTTTTCCCAGAGCAAGAACCTATTTTTAATTTTCAGTTGTCTAATTTCAATTTTTCAATTTTCAGCAATTTTCAATTCTTCATTGGACATTGTTTTTCAGATGTCCTACAAGTAACTCCATTTCAACATGTCCAAAATATAACTTTCATGTTTACCCAAGTAAAGCTATTGCTTTACAAACCTACTCCTCTTCCTGTGTTCCCTATTTCAGTCAATGAAAACAATTATTCCACTATCTGTTCCAGCCAGAAATCTGGATGATATCCTTGTCAATTCCATCTCCCTTACCCCACATATCCAAACAATTCTTAGGTCATTTCAGCACTACCAATTTTAAAATTTCATATCTATTTTCTCATCTCTATCATACTGCTACTCTCTTACATTAAGTCCTTATTTCTCCCCTGGACTATTGCTGTAGTATTCTGATTTTCTTGACTTCAAAGGTCAGTCTCCATTTAGTGTGCTACAGAATTATCCTTTAAGAAAGTAAATATATTCATGAGATTCTCCTTTGAGAGCAAAATGGACAAGGTCTTTTCTGATTTGGCCATTGCCTATCAATATGACCTCATCACCATTCTCTATGCAGATGTTCAATAAATATTTGTGTAATAAATATAAAATCAACAGCATTCAGTTGCTTATAATAATTGTCACTATGTGTAGAGGAATTACTAGGTGTTAGACACTGTGCAAAATGCAAGGTGTGAGGCTTATTTCACTTAAACCTTATGACAATTCTGTGATCCACGCATTGTTTTCCCTTTTTACAGATGAAGAAATGCAGCTCAATAAAGTTATGTGCCTAAAATAACAAGGCTGAGAATTGACAAAATTTGCAGTTTAATCCAGAGCTGTCTGAACCCAAGGCTTATATATCTGGCAGTATACACAGGGCTTTAGACCCAGAGCTTTGGAGGCAGATTACCTAAATTTTGTTCTCTGTTTAGAAACTTACTGATAGTTACGATGATTTAAAGAAACTATGTTGAACCCTTGCAAAAGTACTTGCCACTTCATTAGTATGCCAAAAATATTACCACTATTGTTACATACTGGGCTTTAAGGCTTTCTGGGACCTGAAAGAGTTAATTGATTTCTAAAGCCTCTGCATTGATTGGTTTTCTCCCCTCACCTTCAAGAGCTTTTATGTAGGAAACTTGAACAAGAAATGGTGCTGATCCTCTGTTCTGTATGGATAGATGTTTTTGCGATTTGTCCCACATAACTGACCCCCCGGACCTGCATGTACAAAGGCAGGCTAAGGAATACTTTTTGTGAGACTCGTGCTGTGTGAATAACCTTGGGAGTCTGATTGTTTGAAATATATTATCTAGCCTCCAGGTTAGAACGGGCCCTTCTGTTCTGCACGCAAGAGCTATAAATCTTGTCTCATATCCCCTCCTGCTCCAGGCTGGCTGGCCCCAAGAATGGAATCCAGGAGGGGAAGAAGGCACACATAACCCCGGCTCCTTGAAAATATAGAAACATGATAACATGGAAATGCAGCTCGCTCCAAACTGCATGTCGATGAACAAATGTTTAATTTCAAACCCTGTTATTTGCCCCTTTAAATATGGCCCTTATGGGGATGGTCAGTGGGAAGTCTCACCTGAAGGGAGAATGCTCCGCCCAGGCCTCTCAATTGGGACTCCAGCCTGGCTGTCTCCAAGGGATTTATCCCCAGCTGATGAGGTTGGATGTTGTAAGTACACACCCGATTTCATGCAACTTTGCCTTATTCTCATTTATTGCCTACTATTACCTTCATCTATGTGTAGATTCCTTTCCTCTTCTGTTTCTGTTAGGATTCTGTAATAATAATAGTTTTCTTTCCTTTTTGAAACTGAAACACAACTGTTGTGAATCTTTTGTTCAGAAGATCCTCATTCTGCATACAAGGCAGGTTTTGCCTGAAAAGGGACTGGCAGTGTATTCTCATTAGGAATTCAAGACCACATTCGCCTGCAGCCTCACAGTGAGAACTCATCTTTTTGAGCAATCACTTTGCAAGACAACTCGAAAGCCTCAAGTCCAGGTATAGT